TAAATTTAAATTTCAATTGTAATGCTACGTAGTGGAGGTACAACTGAAAAACAATGCATTTCCCACCAATTGATCAGACATGTAGGTTGATACGGTTGAAAGCACCTTTAGCGGCGGTAATTGTATGTCACAGAAACATCTCGAAGATCGCACCCGTCGAAAGTTCTGGAACGTAAATTTCAATTTCAATTGTAATGGTAGGTAGTGGAGGTACAACTGAAAAACAATGCATTTCTTACCAATAGATCAGACATGTAAGTTGATAGGGTTGAAAGCACTTTTAGCGGCGGTATTTGTATTACAAAGAAACATCTCGAACATCGATGCAAAAAGAACCTGTCAATAGCATGCACTCTGTACTGCATTCTACCAACTCTCATTGCACACTCCACACAGTATATAAACCGCAGCTCACACCCGCAACTGTATCACAGGTTGGTGAAACAGTGCTACCGCTACTCCTTTGAAACATGAAGCGGATGCATAGTTCAAGCGGCGGTGGCGGTGGTGAAAGTGATGTGGGAGTTGGTGAGGATGACAGCTCTTCACCCCCAAAATTGAGAAAAGAATCCGCACTTACTTTGACTCGTACAGCTCCTCGTGGATTCTTGAGAGAGTATAGAGCCAGTTTCATAGACGTGCAGAAGGATGTTCTTGGCGTTCTCAACGATCTATCGCCAGATCTGTATGAAACAATGGTGCACGAGCTAGGCATCCAGCCGTTCAAAGCTGTACTGGTTCTTTGTGTCACTGTTGAGAAGCCCAATGCCGCAGGTGCAATCGTCTACGCCTCTCCATTTTTCCGAAGCCGGCCTATGACTGTGCTGAACGTGAGCAACATTCCAGGTCTACTAACCGCCGCCTTCGACGGGATCACTGCAAAGGTGGACGCTTGGGTGCAAGGTGGTTCAGGCTGGGCTGTGAGTAATGTGAAAACTGCACATCTTGATATTTGCAAGTATCGTCCAATGCGCATGTCGTCGTACCTTCCTCTACCTAAAAAGTTAGCTTCGTCAAAGGCCATCATCAATGTGAAGAATGACGACGAGCAGTGTCTGAAGTGGGCTCTTCTGTCTGCCCTGCATCCAGCTGTGCAAAATGCAGAACGTGTGAGCAAATATGCGCAGTATTCGCAGAGTCTCAACTTTGACGGTGTAGAGTTCCCTGCAACCATAGATGATGTGTACAGGGTGGAGAAGGCCAACTCGCTAAACATCAACGTGTTTGCATTTGAAGAAAACCACATCATTCCCATAAAGTTATCAGGTAGTGACAATGCAATAAATCTCCTGATCCTGCAAGATGATCTCCTTAGCCATTACTGTTGGATAAAGGACTTAAGCGCTCTATGTGCCAGCCAGACAAAGTCCCAACACAAGAGGTTCTTCTGCATGCGATGCCTCTCCGCACATCGCAGCGATACCACTCTGAAGAAGCA